GTATTTTCCAATTCTTTGTTGATGTTCTCACTGTGTTCATCCAGTCTTCTTCCCATATCAGCTAGCATCCTTAAGAGTTTTTGTTTGAATTCTTTGTCAGGTAAATTGCTTCTTTCTCTTTCATTTAGTTCTTTTTCTGGGTTTTTGTCCTGTTCCCTGGCTTGGAATGTATTCCTTTGCCTCCTCATTATGACTCTTTCTCTGTGCTTATGGCTATGTATTAGGTGAGTCAGATATATCTTCCGATCTTGGAGAAGTGTCCTTATGTAAGAGAAGCTTTTTGAGTCTCAGCAGTGTGCTTCCCTCTCATCACTGGTCCAAATGATCCAGGAGTGACTCTCCTGTTTGGGCTACTTGTGTCCTTCTGCTGTGGCAGGGTTGTGCTTACTCCAGGGACCCAGGGAGTCTCGTCTTTCCCTCCCTGACCAGCTATTTGTGACTTGGGCTTGGGGAGCCTCAGAACCGTTGGCTGAAAGGTCTAATAGCACACTCCTGTTTCAGTTTTCCTGTTAATTGAGTATTTACCCAGTCTACCTGGTTGCTAAGCTCAGGGGCTTACAGTTGCTGTAGGCCTCAGGCCTGCAAGGCTATTGTCAGCTCTCTTAGGATTGCAGCTGAGTGGGGCTGGCCCTAGGCATGGGAGCTCCCAATTGTTTCAGGCTTTTGAAGGTAGAGTCAATCCTTTTTGTGGCTGATTGTGAAGCACAGGTCTTCTGCTACTGATAAGCCCCACCCTGCCACAGGTCCACACACGGTGTCAATACAGCCCTGGTCTGTGCACACTTCCTGACCTCCTGGAGCATACCCAGTTGCCGAACTGCAGAGGCCCTCCACCTCACCACCAATGGCCCCCACAGTTCACCTAGTACTCACACAGGCCCTGCCCCACAGACGTGGACACACTCACCTGCCTGTAGAGGATCAAGGCTCCCAGTCTATGCAGGCCAACAAGCAGACTGAGGACTTGCTGTTGGGTGGGGCTGGTCTCTAGGCTGGGTTTCCTGCCCTGGCTAAATTGGATTAAATCTGCACTCTAGTGGGTGTGGCAGACCCCTGGGCTATCATGCCAGGGGAAGAACTTCAATGGCATCTGCCAGCCTCTGTGTCAGCACGCCTGTATTAGGTCTCAACAAATGGCTGCCACCAAAGTCTCAGTCTCTGGAGAGATATCTCTTCTCACCGAGATCCACCCAGAGCCTACCAGGTGAGTTTCTTTTCATCAATGGACTGTGCAGCTGCCTTTTTGGCAATTTTAGGTTGCTCTCTGAGATGAGTGAGTTTGTGCACGTGCCCTTTAAGAGCCAGGTTTTTTCTAGCTTTCCTCTGATAGCTTTTCTAGGGGTATCCCCAGTTGCAGTTAAGAGGCAGGAAGCCAGATAGTAGGACACTCGTCTCAGTTGTGCTGAGTCTGAAGGATGCTTATAGCGGTAATGTACCCCCACCTCTCCATACTTAGGGCAGCTCCCGCCAGCCAGCTGTGAGGGTCCACGGTTCACAAAGGTGGCTTTGTTCTCTCCAGAAGGAAGTTCTGCCTCTTCCACCGCAGTCATGACTGTACCTTGTTGTGGGGGTTCTTTTTATTCAATTTTCAGTTTTCTCTCCAGGGTAATTTTTCCAAGAATAGTTGTAACCTGGCTGTGTTTGTGTGACGAGGTCAGTTCAGAGTCTGCCTACGCCATCAGCTTGATGAGATCTCTCGTTAGTCACTTTTGAATACGCTGATCCCAACACAGTGCCTGGCAGTTTTAGGATTTCAAAATGATTTGAAAATTAAATTGGATTGGGTATTAATTCATAGGTTCTTAGAGTTGAGGGGATTTGAGACATCATTCTAACTCCTTAATTTTATAGGTGAAATATGAATTTTTATATCTCAGGTCACAGGCTGGTTTCTAATTCAGTAAGACTAGACAATAAGTTTCTACTAAACCATGCTGCTAAATAAAATTTCCATGTATGTTTCAAGAACTCTTAGAAAATGCATTTTTCTTTTTCATGTATAACTTCTCAGTAAATCACACAGTGGAGCAAGAATATCAAAAGAGAAAAATGTTTTGCAACTTTTATTCAGGAATAAAATATTGGGTCCTTTGATCAGAACATTGTTATTGAAACACTATGTAAAAAGCGTGTTGCTCTGCTTATGTTTCATCCACTTCTAATGTTTATACTTAGAATTGCAATAACAATTATTGTTGTATTAAATACTGTTCAGTGAGTGATTCATATTTTTCATGTCCTTATCAGCATTCTTATGTCCATTGATATAACCCAAAGCACCCTTTTATTCTATCTTCCCAATATTTGGCTTGGTCTCATAATCATAGAGCACATATATTCTTTAGCTAATACCAAGGACAATTTCTTTTGTTATATTTAGAGTGTAACTGTGATCAATGTTAACCTATAATTTCCTAAGATTACGTTGCCAGTGATGGCACAAGTTACTCCAAAATGAATTTATGTTTTTAATCTACAAACTGGACTTTTAAAAAATTACAGAATGATCCCTTCAATCCTGGAATTTTTCATTAGTGCCAGCCTTCACTGTGTTTCAAATCTTAACCCTAGCAATGACATTAATAAGCTTATACAGGAAACATTAGAGGGAATGACATACTCTCATGAATGAACTAAATAAATAAATCAGATCAAGGACTAAACTGAAGGCTCTTCTGTCTCTTTCTATGTTTTAGGTACTTTCAATTACACTTTGAACTTCTTTCCAGTAAGAAAGATGGTCTGTCTCTTTGCTGTGTGCTAAGCATAAGTCCAACCCACCCCCAGTGTACATTTTTTTGTCAGTTGGGATCAATTAACCTCTAACACTGTGGCAACCAGATGTTGTTAGAAGAGTTCAGCAAGTGTTTGTACTCTCCTGAATTTTCCGAAGGGCATCTGCATTATGTCAAATTTTTCTCACCTCATATTTGCCTGTGTTGGCAGAAGTCCAGCTCTTTCATCTTCCATTTGTTTGTTTTATTTTAATAAGAGTTCTAAGTTTCTTTTATTTTTACTTGACTGAGACAAAGCACAATACAGATAGAAGGGTATGATTTTCTCCATAGATCTGAAAGTTTCAATTTATATAGTTGAACCACTGTTATACTCACTGACCTGTGTTTTGACTATTGCTGTTCTGACCACTGCTTCAGGATGCAGAAATGGAAAGTTGCTTTATTTGATGGCTGTGAATAAAATATTGATTATTTACATACTACAAGAGGGAAATCATTCCAAATTTTAGCATTAAAATAATTCCTAGGGGGGCCGGCCCCGTGGCCGAGTGTTTAAGTTCGTGTGCTCCACTGCAGGAGCCCAGGGTTTCACTGGTTCGGATCCTGGGTGTGGACATGGCACCACTTGTCAAGCTACATTGAGGTGGCGTCCCACATGCCACAACTAGAAGGACCCACAACTAAGATACACAACTATGTACTGGGGGGATTTGGGGAGATAAAGCATAAAAAAAAAAATATTGGCAACAGTTGTTAGCTCAGGTGCCAATCTTAAAAAAATAATAATTCTTAGGGATATTTACATTTATTTTTCTTAAAGCATAGGCACATTTTTATCAGTTATTTTTCTTCAGAATTGTCTCTGAATGCAAATAGACACAAAAAGGTCAGAGTCTTATTTTAATTTATTCATAATTTCGTTCCAACAAAAATTGTTTTCAAAATTGATTTCTGAAATGTTCATTAAAATTGGTGCCCTTTGGGACTTACCTTAGTCAGTTTTAATTGCTTAAATAATTACATACTGCATTAAGATTCTTCTTAGGGTACTGGCTACATTCAAAGGAGATCTTTTACATTAAAAAAAAAGACAAACTCAGTAGTTTTTAATATTGAGACATGACAGCTGTCTGTAGCTACTCTTCTGAGTTTTACATTTTCCTCTGAGTCAATAGAGTGGGCATAATATTATATGGCGTATGTTCAGTCAAATGATGATTTTTATGTTAATGACAATGCATTTCTTTAAAGAATCCAATATTTTACACAAAGTAAATTTGTGTTAAGGGAATGCAAGGTTATCTTATAAATTATTTATATTTAATATATATATACTTAGCTAAATCAGAACAATGATTCAGTACATTTAAAAATATATCTGCACTACGAATTTCTAAATTTGTACCTTAAATATTCCCTTGGCCTTTATTAAAGGATCTTGTGAGCAATACCAAATGATGTATATATACATATATATATAGTTATGTTGTGTTAGAGTAAGATTTGAAGGGGTTTCTTTTTCCTACTATGAAAGAAACATACATGCTGAAGAAACCAACTAAATCAACCTTTGAAATAGGTCAAGACGAAATGATGACTGCCTTAGTGAAACAAAGTAATAACCTGGCTTAGATGTGTGCTTCTGGAACTTTTCCAGTAAAGTACCCTATAAAGCAGCAGAGAGTCAACTCAGGAAAATGAGAGATGTGATCTCAGTTCCTTTAAAGCTTGTGTTTTTCTAAAAGATTTTGCATAGTAGCCTATTTTTTCTCCATATTTGTTTTAATAGAAAAATATTACATATCATCAAGTAAATTGGTTCACTAAGAAGTGGTACCATGTTTATCCTAAAGGTTTTTTCTCTAACAAGGCACAGTGTGGTATCGTTCTAGAATTTAAGAAACTTGGCACAGTGGTTGGCTATGGGATAGATTATAAGATTGGGTGTTGAATTGTTCTGGAATTGACTTGGTTTACAGATGATTTTGCTCTAGTTAATATTAAAATTAGTTTGTCTTTTTCTGAATGTAGAGAAATTAGGGGAAAATAACCCAGAACCGTTCTTTATGACATAGCAAAAGTGACTTGAGATTAACAAATTGTGGTAAACCAGAATGGATGATAATGTAAAGTTCACTTTCTCATAAACTCTGTTGCATGAATTTTACTGCCCTAAGTTCACAGACTGGTATTTTGTATCTTTAAGCACTCGTTCAGAGTTTTAAAAACAGTTGATTTCAATTTTTTCATTTTTCATTTTAGGTCAGACATCACAGAGACCTTCAATGGCAAATTTACCACTTTCCAACTCTGTTAAAAGAAGCTCCAGCTGCTTTTCCTCCCCTCGTCCTCGATCAAGAAGTGCAGCTGCTCGATCATTATCTAGAGCTGCTTCTGAAATTTCGGAAATTGAATACATTGATATTACTGACCACAATGAGCCTTTCTTAGATGGCACTGCTGATCAACAAACCTTAGACAGTTTGGAAAAAGAATTAAATGTGATGAGAAATCTCGCAGGTAATACTATTTTTTTTCAGTGTACACAATGTTAACTCAGTCTTCTGCCTGATTCTTCATATTGTGCTCCAAAAAAACAAGCCTTTCTCTTTCTCTCTTCATACGATCAACTTTTTTTGTCTGTTTTCTTGGATATCCTGTGATATCACCCTGAAAATGTCATAAAATATGTGAATGCCCAGCCACACCAGAGGTAGTCCCCTTAGCCCACATGGTACGCAGTTAAATTGCGGCATAAGGACCTTCGTGTGGACAGATAAAATTTTTTTTCTCCTTTCTACAAACCGACTGAGTAGCTAATCCCTGTAGCTTTATGAAAGCTACTGCTCAAGACCCTTGTTGGGAGATTGAGCTGTCAGATCTTTTAAAGAAATATTTCTCAAGCTGCCGTGTGTACACAGATCCCCGGAGGATCTTGTTAAAATGGAGATTCTGATTCACTATGCATGGGTGGGGCCTGAGATTCTGCACATCTAACAAGTACCCAGTTGATGCCAGTGCTGCTGGCTGGCAGACCTGTTTGAAGAGCAATTATATTCATGCGTTCTATTTCCTAAACCTCAAAGGATGAAGTCTAGCAAATCACAGCCCTATTCTTGAACATGTAAAGATCTGGTTCAGTAACAGAACGTCAGGGGAAATAGTCCTCTTAATTTTCATCAGAAAGTTGTTCATGCAATTTGATAGAAGCCAGCTGCAGATCCAAGAGGCAGGCCAGAAACCTCTAGGCTTGTGTATTCCACACATGCTCCTCCCTTGTTTTTTTTTGCTTTTGTTCTTTTTTAGTAATATCCCCCCTTTTTCACCTTAGAATAGTGACTTTGCTATTTTCCTGAAAAGAATACATCTTGGTTTTGAAAAATTCAAGCAACACAAAAAAAACACAAAAAAGGAAGCCAAAATCCCCACAAAGTCTTACCACTCCGAAAACAACCATTAACATTTGATAAGCAGCATTTCAAACATCTGTTTATATCTTAAGTATACATATAAGACTATATAGTTAGGAGGATGAATAGATTGAAGGAAAAATAGTAATAATTTTATAAAAAATAGACATGCTCTCTATTTTTTTTTAATTATATATATATTTATCCAACTTAAAAGTTGAAATGAAACTACAGGAAATTGGACATTTTAGATAAGTATTTTTTCACTGCAAAATTGTTAAGTTAAACTATATGAAATTGCCCTTTTGTAGACAAAAGACAGTGGAATATTGTTAATTTTATATGGTCTAACCTGTAATTTTTGCAAATATCCCTTTAAAAACTAAGAAAAAAGATGAAAAGAAACAGTAAGCAATTGAGGCCATTTTTAACTACATGACTTAGTTTTAGACAGTAATGATTAAATCCCTATGGTAAAAGACGAGGACTTATTTCTTACTGTTTTTAACCACATGTGATTGTAGATAGTATTAAATACATTCCTGTTATAGTTATGTTATAATTTTTCATTTTTTCAAGGTTTCATTTTATTTTCTTTTTCCTAGTGAAAATTCATATGGATTAAGTAATCAGCACCAGCACTTTTACTATGACTTCGCAATTAGGGAAATTTTATTTAGATTGATCTCTAGAAGGTTTGATTGTGGCATTCTTGAGAACATCTGTCTTTTATCTTTGTGGTTGATTGACAAGTTAGCTAGATTAATTTAGTGGATCTCATTTTTTTTCCTCTGCACATAGTAGACTTTTCTCTATTGTCTTTGGTCCATGAATATTCTGCTATTAGTCCTTTAGTTTTTATTTTTATTTTTTTTGAGGAAGATCAGCCTTGAGCTAACTGCTGCCAATCCTCCTCTTTTCACTGAGGAAGACTAGCCCTGAGCTAACATCCGTGCCCATCTTCCTCTACTTTATATGTGGGACGCCTGCCACAGCATGGCTTGATGAGCAGTGCCATGTCTACACCCGGGATCTGAACTGGTGGACCCCAGGCCAAAGTTTTTCCATTTAACTTTTGTTTGGTTGAATTTAATTGTCAGTGTTTTCCCCCCAGTAGGGGTCATGGGTGCTCCATTCCTCGAGTGCTTTGCTGTTTGGGAAGGCAGGAATGGCAAAGGGGCTGAGGGTAATTTCTTTGTGTCACTTTTCTCTTCAACCTTGTATGTCCCGATTTGTTGTTTTCTCGATCCGCATTCTACTGTGAATAGTTTGAGATCGCCTTGATTTTTGACTCCTCCTCTCTCTTGTATGTGACAGGCTTCTTTCCTGATGGGATATTTGAAATTTTTTTCTGAATCTTTGAAATTTGATAAATGGACCCAGGATTGTGTTTCCACGTCAATAATTAAGCATTTCTTAAAACATAGGGTTCTCTTTCTGTCTGCAAAATAAGTTCTTTATTTTCAGAGAAATTTTCTATCACATATTTGAATTGCTTTTCTGTTCCATTTGTCTTTCTCCTGCTGAGAAACCTATTTTGTCTATGTTGGATCCTCTTTGTACAATGTATTTAGTTATATTTTCTGCAACTGTTTTAACCAGTTTTTATTTTCTTTTGCGTTTACTATGATTATCTCAAGCTTGACTATTATATCAGAATTTCAATTTTCAGCTGGTTATAGTTCATTCTTTATTGATTGACAATAAATTAGCTCTTTACAGGTATTGCTTTGACATGCTTTTTGGTAATTTTTTACTTTGATATAATTTCAAAGTTACAGAAAATTTGCAAGAACGGAAGAATAGTACAAAAAATGCCAATACACACTATACCAGTTCACTACCTGTTTGTCTTTTGGCCTATTTACATATATGCACGCACGCGCGTGGGCGTGCACATACACACACACACACACACTGCTCTTTTTTTCTGAACTATTGGAAAGGAAGTTATAAACATCATGACCCTTCCCCAAAATATATTTCAGTGTGTATTTCCCATGAGCAAGGACATTCTCCTACATAATCATAGTACGATGATCAAAATCAGGAAATTTAACATTGATACAATATAATCTATAGTGCATATCAAAATTTTTTAAATTGTCTCAGTGAAGTCCATTATAGCTTGTTTTTTTCTGGTACAGGAGCCAATCCAGGAACAGGTGACCATTTACTATTTTCCTTTGTGATGTCTGATGTATTGTTGGTTGATCTTTGAGATTAGTTTTACTGTTTTTAAAAATGTTGCTTTTGTTATTCCTTTTGTAGCCAAGAGACTTCTGGGAAATTTTCTTATGGTCTTGATCTGTTTTCTACCAGATTGGTCTTTTGTTTAATCATGTTTTGCGTGCTATGGATTCTTGGAGTCTAGTCCCTTTGTTTGCATGGCTAGTTACTGTCCTTTCTTTGTATCTTACGTGCTCAGCCTTACTGTGAGTGGCTCTGCTCGTATCCTCCGTCTTTTCTGGGATAGTGAGCCTGCATTCTCCCTGAAATGCTCTCCGCCTGTCCTGAGATCTGTCAGTCTTCTCTTTGGAGCCACCTTTGTGGGTTGGGTAATGTGCTCTTTTTTGTATCCTGCTGGCTCGAAGGCATGGGGAGGATAGACGAAGAACTGGGAGCTCAGCCTCCTTTGTTGGAGGATCTGGGCTCTCTTGTCTTTTTCTAGATTTATTAAATGCCAAACTTCACTGGACCTGGTTTCCAGTGTGTTCTGTCCCTGTAGGGACACCTACGAGTTTGCAATTTTCTTGCCTCCGCTAAGGTCTTATGGTGGGTATTTAGGGGCTTTAAAAAATATTTCAAATATTTTCTCCTTACTTCCCCTTCACCTGCTTTTCTCCAAATTAATGTGTTTCTGGTGAGACTTGTCAGAACTTTAGATGACTCGCCTTTTGCTGTTACAAGTTTGGTGTGTGTATTGGTGGGGGGGGTGGGGGCGTTGGACAGCAGTGCACCTCAGTGAATCTGTTTATTTCTTTGGTTGCCCTTTGTCAAAGTTCATTATGTGAACTTGTATCCTTTTTTCGTTTGGTTCCTTTTATGATTTTATTTTATTTGACTTTTTATTTTTCTGCTTTTTCTATTTATTTCATTAGAGGTTGAAGGAGGAGAGTATATGACCATCTTTACCCATCCATCATTCCTTTGCTTTACTCTAAATTACTAAATGTAAATCTCCTTGGAGGTAATTCTCACATTAAAGATCAATTCTAAAATGAAGCCTGAACTGGATCTAAAAGTATAAGCATACAGTTTTTAATCAGAAAATGAGCACTTCTTATTCTGATAAATTGATGAGTTCCATTATTTACAAATGAAATACAGTACTTTACAAACAGTAGTCTTTTTTTTGTTTCCAACCACTCAGCTTTCCCATTTCCTTTATCACTTTTGATCTAACATGCTTCATTGTTTCCCTATGTCACCCATTTTCTCATACACCAACACCAGTATTTTCACTAGAATACATCACTTTTTGTTTCTGAAAGTGGGCACACACTGCGGATTCTGTGAATGGCTTTTCTGATGGTCCAGGAATAGAACGCAATCACTTCCACACACTTGACTGGGGATGGCTCTCTTTCTGTTTGGAAAGAGTGGCTTTGGATGAGGGCACAGCTTTGAGACACTCACCTGGAGCTGAGGAAGGAAGAGGACGGCACGTCAACTGAATCAACCCAACAGTCAGTGAGGCGACAGATGCTGTGGTGAAATCAGGCCCTATTCTAGAAAATTCACTGAATCTGCACAAGGCTTTTGTATTCTGTTTAGCATCAATGGACAGAAAAATTGCACCCACATTTCACTACTTAACGGTGCCGTTTGGAAAATCGCTTCATGAAGTTTGGTCTCACACAGGCACAGCTACGCAATTCGACTCTTATACAAATGTAAATGTGTTTATATCGCTGTGAAAGCTGCATTTTTGTTAGCAGCAACCTTTCTGACTTGTTTTCTGTTAGCTCTAGGATACGTCCACTTCCTCTAAGTTCTGTGGAAAACAGCCGTGCCAAGGAGCGGGGAGAAGACAAGACAGGAAATAACTACATGAAGTGTCTCTCCTTTGATTCAGATTGCTGTGGCTGATATTGCAGCCATGTCAGAAGCAGGCGGGGCGGGAAGGGCAGGGGACCTGTGTGTGCAGGTTGCAGACACAACTTCCTGCTGCGTCAGGAGATGGGTCAACAAAACAGGTGGTTGAGAGCCAGGCTCTGGGGCAGGAGTCCGGTTTTGGAACTTGAAACCAACCCTTACTAGCTTCGTGATGTTGGATGACTTACTTTCTTAACCTCACTTTGCATCAGTTTCTATATATGAAAGATGGGGATAATAATAGGCTGTATCATAAAATTGTTTGGTGACTGAACTCAGTTATGTACTAAATATTGTATTTATGAAAATTTATTTCTCTTTCTCTCCACACACATACACACAGACACTCTTAACAGTGCCTAGCATAATAAGTCCTGAAAAATCTGTTAAATTATATAAGGAACCAGTGGGTGGAGCTTTCTACATACAGTAAGGTAATGTGCTCATGGTAATTCCAGTTTTTAGTCAGAAACATCTAAAAGCTGTTTCCATTCTAAAACTATGTCTTCTTCTAGACCACTTTGAGGATGACAGTTAGCTATAGTTCTTGCCTTATTCTTATTCCTTCCAGATATATCTTTGTAAATAACACTACAGTCACTTCTTTAAAAAGCTCAACATACCAGGTATAACTTAATTACTAAGGCACTTTGTCAGTTGTCAGATATTGTTCTAACCTGAAGAAATTTGGAAAATATCAGAAGATATGCATTATGAGAAAGTATCAGTAATGATGCACTTTAAAGCATTCAGCTTTTCAGTAGTTAAAAATGACTCATTTGTTTCCAACTTGTTCTGATTTGTGGTTTAAGAGTCTTTGTGGTCCTGAAATTCCCACAGCAATCCTGTGTTTGGGTGGGTCCATAGGTAGTTAACTGAGCCAGGTAATTAAAGAGAGGAAAGTACTTTTTCTTAAACAAAAAAGAATAAAAATCTCCCCAGTCCTAGCAGACGTAGCCATGCTGTCTGTGAAGTGAAATAGTGAGGCAGTGGCTTCCTGAGTGGTTAGAGCCTCTGTTCAGAGGTTGACCATCGAGTAAGATATTAAACTGTGAAAGGGCAATTCAGGATTTGTAGTTAGCAAATTAACTAAATAACTCTTGTAAAGACAGTCAGGTTAAAATGGGCTAGAATGGCAATCTTTTGTGCCTTTGAATTTCAGGAAAAAAGCTGAGTGCTGCATACAAGTGAAAGTCAACATATTAAAAAAAAATTCTGATATAAGGAATATGAAACCACTCAATGAGTAATAATAGTCACTGTTTGTTTTTAGATATGAGGTTGCTCCATTTGCTCTGCATAGCTACCCTGGGAGGTGGTAGGGGCAGGTGCTACTCTTAATCTCCCCTTTGCGGATACAGTAACTGAGGCTCTGGGCGGCGCAGAAACTGCCCCCATCTCCCCTGGGTGCAAAGAAGAGCCAGGCACAAGTCACAAGTCCAGGCAGGTTGGCCCCACTCCTTTGTCTCACTGCCAAATCCTTACTTCAAATCACTATTGTGACTACTTGAAAGGGCGAAGATGCGGGCAGAGTGAAGGTAAAAGGAAGATAGAGGGAAGGAAAGGAAAACAAGAGGCTGAGGGCTGGGGTGGGGCTCACAGGTTACAGGGTGAGTGTCCTGGTTGTCACACTTCCTAAATATCTGTACATCATTTGTCCGTTGCTACGCTAGATAGTCCTTTAGAAATTTTTGTCGTCATTGTTTTTCCTTTTGGTTCCTTATTGGGAAATCACCTATCTGCTTTGTTTCCATTCTTTGAAATCTTTAACCTGTTTCTTTGGTTCTTCCTTTCATCTTTCCTTCATTTTCTTTATTTATATGAGCGTTCTTTCCCTGTGGGATAAAGTTTTATGTATGTGTTTTAAATGACTTGAGTTTTAGAAATATACCTTAGAACTTTGCATTTTAGTCAACTTTCCCCCTTTGTCTAATTCATTACTATTGTATTTAAGAGATTCATCAATGATCCGAGAACATACAGTCTTACTCTAGGGATGGAAAACTGACTCGACAGTTATAAAGTAAAATTTCCAGTATAAATGTCAATCCAGCCTTCCCTAGTCCTGTGTGAAAAAAATCAGGAGACTTAAGTTTTTGGACAATTGGCCTTTTAGGTTTAACACTAACCTGCAATAAGGTTTTTGTAAGCAATTTTATTTTTCTGTGCCTTGAAAATCAAGTGATGTCACCTTTGCTCCTGTTAACTTCCCAAGGTATTCTGAAATATAACTTTGAGAATTAACAGTTATACAAAAATAGCCCCATTCTGTTTGTACAATCTGAATTAACTCTGTGCTCATTCAGTGAGGACTCAAAGGCTAACAGAGGTTGGATACCTCTCCTGGTGGTATTCTTTAGGTCTAAGCACCGCTATTGGGTTTCATTACTGTAGTTCTACTCTAGATTTTCCAAAGCCTGAACTGACTACTTTCCAACGGGTAACGTTCCCTGTCATTGGGGCATGTTAAGGTATTTGCATAACTATCTTCTTTTACCTTGTGGAAAAATAGCAGAGAAGATAGTAGCCTAAAGCTAAAGAATTAGATCCTGGAGCATAGTTATTGGTGATATCGGTGAACTAAAAGAGCTCTGGTCTAATTCCAGTTCTTCTACTATGTGGTTGTGTGAATTTCAACAAATTACCGATCTCCTGTGGGCCTTCAGTTTCCTAATCTCCCACAAGTGGGAACTGAACAAAAATGCTGGCTGAGGAATCTGGTTTTTCCCAAAATTAATCTTCTATAGAGCTCCGAAAGTTAAATGAGACCAAGTTAAGCTGTCTTGATTGCTTTGGGGTGGTGGGAGCAGGAGCCTCATCTCTGAGTACCGAATTTATCGGTGTATCGTAATTTGAAAGTCACTGGGATAAATAATTTAAAGGGCACTTCCGGTTGTAAATGTATCGAAGCCTTCTTGCAGCAGGAGTGATAATCTAAGTTACTTTGAGAAGAGAAATCTGCTTGCTCAAAGACTTCCAGTTAACACTAAGTACTAAAAAAAACCCAACTCTCCAGTAAAGTGTAGAATGCATGTAGTTTGGTGTTTGGTCCTTCTAATCAGGAGGCTATTTACTTGGCACTTTCATAAGAGTGAAGGAAAGAATAGCACCCAGTAATTTTAACAGTTGTAAAGTCATCATGGCATAATCTTATGTATAAGTTCGATGGCTGTTGCAACTTTGTCAATGACAAAAAGAAGGCATTAATACAGTAATCATATTTATTATTATACTTGACGTATTGGTAGTTTATATAAAGATATGTTTGCTTATACAGATCTTCATCAACTTATGATGGGATTACGTAGTAATAAATCCATCATAAGTTGAAAATATTGTAAGTTGAAAATGCATTTAATATACCTAGCCTACTAAAGATCATAGCTTAGCCTAGCCTCCCTTAAATGTGCTCAGAACAATTACGTTAGCCTACAGTTGGGCATAATCTTATAACGCAAAGCCTATTTTATAGTAAAGTGTTGAATATCTCATGTAGTTTATTAAACAATGTGCTGAACGTGAACAACAGAATGGTTGTCTGGGAACAGAATGGTTGGAAGCGTATGAGTTGTTTACCCTCGTAAACACATGGCTAACTGGGAGCTGCGGCTCACGGCTGCTTCCCGGCATCACAAGAGAGGATCCTTAGCCTGGGAAAAGATCAAAATTCAAAATTCAAAGTGTAGTTTCTACTGAGTATGTACTGCTTTCACACCATGGTAAAGTCAAACAATCATTAAGTCACCTGTGCATTTGCTTCCTTAACTTGCACTCTTTGTCCTGACCTAGGCAGACTCATAGGCCAGCTCCAGGAGAAGGGCAACGCTTCCCCCTTTCACATACAAATGGCTATTTTCTGCCCAAACAAAGCAAGGAGGCAGAAAAAGAAAGGGCAGCTTTGTCAAGACTAACCTTTGCCTCAGACTGTGTTGGGGTAAAGCTTTTATTTCTTAGAAGGCAAAAGAGATAATAAAGTGGTTAACACTCAGACAAGTTGAGTTGTGCACTATTCAAACTTTAAAGAAGATCACTTGATTTTCTTTGGAATTTTGTGAATTCTCAGGACATTTGACATTTTTCTTAAGTATAATGTATACCATGTAGTATCACTTATGTGTGGAATCTAAAAAAAGCTGAACTCACTCACAGAAACAGAGACTGGAATGGTGGTTGCTGGGGCCTGGGGGGTCGGGGAGAAGGGGAGATGTTCAAAGAGAACGAACATCCAGTTATAAGGTGAATGAGTCCTGGGAATCTAATATACAGCATAATGATTATAGTTAATAATATTCTATTGCATACTTGAAAGTTGCTAAGAGAGTAGATCTTAAATGTTCTCACCACAAAAAAGAAATGGTAATTGTGTGATGTGATAGAGATGTTAGCTAATGCTGTGGTGGTAATCATTTTGCCATATTTGAGTGTATCAAATCAACACATTTTACACCTTAAATTTACACAATGTTGCATGTCAATTATATCTCTATTAAACTGAAAAAAAAAAATTGGGGAATTTACCAAAAAAAAATCTACATGATTAAAGTGATTTGATATCCATACTCTAATTTGGAATCTCAGATCAAATTTACCTCACACTCTGCCCACCCCACAGACATTAGAAAATTGAGTGATGATTAAAAATCTGTGCTCACTTTCCTCATGCTGCTTGTAGTTTCCTCTGGATAAACTTTCAGCACCATGTGCTGTGCATTTGTTTCTTGAATTTATGTGCTGACAATGCATGAAATAAAATGTTTCAGATCCTTCAGAAAAACTTCACTGCCTAACCTCAGAAGAGTTAGCAGCCTTCAACAACAATTCGCTGAATGTAAGTCAGACTACCCTGGATTTCCTTAAGACCTCACGTGCGAGGGGTGCCTGTGGAGATGAGGACCTGAGGTAGGTTAGGCCTGCAGCTTATATGTAAAGAGAGTAGACAGTAAAAATTTTGACAAGCGCCAACTAGTTATCTTTACTATATGAAGAAAAATTGTCCTCATGTGTGTACTTTATATGGCCATTCTTTGTAAAATGTTTGGGTCCTTTGCTGACCTATTATCAGGATTTAGTAAAAGGCTTATGAGGGTGTTACTTTAATGTGAAGAGATAATTCTCTGCTGCACAATGTGTGACAGAAAAATGAAAAGACATTTGGAATTTAATAATCCTTCAGCATTTCTTCTTATATTGAAAAACAATTGTCTTATTTGCATTAATTAAGCTAATAAGTTCCATAAATATGCATTAATGAAATCGTAAAGTAATAAAGTTTTCAGAATAGAATATTGAGAAGTTTCTTTCTTGAAATCGAGTCTAGATTGTTAATGATAGGGTATTTAATCTGTATCATTTCATTCTTTCCTCACAAAAGATGAGAACATTTAGGGATGCTGATCGGTTTATAAGGAACATAGGTTATACTAATAAATGCTTCAGAAAAGTAGTCTACCATGTCAGACTACTATTGACATACTTGCATTTCTTGAAAAAGGAGGAGAAGGGTCCCTTCTAGAAGGACTAACATAAATGTAAAATAAAAATCCATTGGATTGTAAATTCCTTTCGTTTCTAGTCTAATATTGCAGTAAAAGGGAATCAAGAGTCTCTTAGTCTGCCTTTCTGAAAGAGGAAACCGTTTAGCTGTGGTTCTTGGATTTTTGCATTTCTAACGCCACTTACATTTTTAAAAAAGAGGGATCAATGTAAAGTTGCTATCTTTTCCTTTAAAATGTCATTAAAAACAAAGTAACTAAACCTTCCACATCCTCTCACCATTGTTTCATTAAAGAAAGGACATTTAATATTAAAAGTATAAGGGGAACATTCTAACAGAGCTTTAAAATTAAAAATATCATGAAAAAGTCCTTATTTTCTCTTCTCTTCTTAGACCAGGGAAAATTTTCTATCACGGATATACACTGGTCCACAGACCAGAGTTTAAAGAACTGCTGGTTTAGCCTGTGTTGGGGATAAAAAAGGACTCAAAGAGCAGTTATATCCATCACGGGGTGAAGTATTTTATATTATTTAGTGGCGTACATGGGCTGAAAATCTAGATAACTTGTACCAAAGAATCTGAAATTATGCAGGCTCCTCTCTGTTCGCCCACGCTGCCTCTTCCCAAACTCCAGACACCTGTGTGCTAGAGGTTCCACCGCTCCCCTCCACAATGAAACACAACAAAATAAAACAAATAATTGCTGTCATTAATTTTGGTTTCGACCTATCTTCACTGGCTATCCACAACGTCCTAATTTACTGTACACAAAAGAGGTGATTTATCTGGCAGTCTGTTCATTGGGATTGTATTAAACAGTGAAGGTAATGATGAATGTTCTTAATGATGACCCTGAGGCTCTGCAAGTTTCTGAAGTGCCTTCTGAATCATTAATGAAAGACACAACCAGAGACCATAAAATCTTCTCTCCTTGGTTCCACTGTGGCTTCATTTCTTGGGAGAGGGAGAATGATGATAATTTTTCATTAAAAGGAGGCTTGGTATATTGGACACATTGAAAATGATGGCCCCGGTCTGAGATGGCCTGCTCATATCTGCCTGTCTCCAATGACTTCAATGTATGGAGTATTGATCAGAAGATAAATGAAGAGTTGAAACTTGGTTCTGTATATTGTGTATTGATCTTTCAATGTATTTCCAGCTCTTCTGAAAAAGATACCGAAATTCAGTCTTCGCTGACACTTTCTGAGAGCAGCACAGATGAGGAGGAAGAAGATTTCCTTGACAAGCAACATGTCATCACACTTCCATGGTCAAAGAGTACTTAAGGATATTTGCTCATTACTGTTTCCATTTTACACCCAGAGTAAAACAAACAACTGAAAATGCAACCAAGTGATTACCTGTCCAAGAGATCTTGATTATTAATGTCTCTGATATTTCCAGGTTTACAGACTAATAAAAGTTACTGAAATTATAAGTTTAAGGGATTTTTCTTCCAAATGATATATTATATGTCAAACACTAATCTATATTGCAGATCATATTAGTAAAATTTGGTGAATTTTAAAAAATAACAGTTATAGCTGTGTCTCTAGAATCTACCATAGGATAGAACATGATTACATTTGAAGTGATATTTAATTGTTAAATTATATTTTAAATATTTATGTCATCAATAAGAGGGTATATTTGATGGCCAAGTCATATTTGGCAGTAGCATTAATTGTGCTTGGCATCCATTTTTTACTTTGGTAATTACAGTTTTCTTTTCTGTTAGTGTTTTTGACATTTATAGAAGTTCTGGTAGCTTCAAAAGTTGCTGCTAGAAGAGAAAAAGAGGAACCTAAATAAAGTGGTTGTAATACTTGTAATTCTCTGTTCTAGTAAAACATGGAAAAGGCCCCAAAAGAGTTTTATTTTGGGTGAGTCAGTACGATGGTTAATTTTGTGTGTCAACTTGACTAGGGTATGGTACCCAGATATTTGGCCAAACATTATTCTAGATGTTTCTGCAAAGATAGTTTTTAGATGAGATTAACATTTAAATCAATAGACTTTGAGTAAAGCAGATTGCCCTCCACAATGTGGGTAGGGTCTCATCCCATCAGTTTGAAGGCCTTAATAGAAAAAGACTGAAGGACTCCAAGGAAGAAGGAATTCTGCTTTCAGACTGCCTTGGGACTCAAACAGCAACATCAGCTCTTCCCTGGGCCTCCAGCCTCCTGGGCTGCCCATAGATTTTGGATTTGCTAGCCTCCACAATTGGCTCTGTTTCTCTGGAGAACCATGACTACTACAGTCAGTTTGAAGGACCATTGTGACAGCCAAAGAAAATAACACACTTGGAAGAGTTTTGCTAGTCCTGGGTAGTAATAGATCGTGGGGTCGGTGGTGGTCAAGGTTTTACATGATCTTGTAATTCAAGGGCTTAAAAAAGAGCAGAAGAAGACATGGGGGGGATACTTTTATAGATGTCACTTTGTGACATTTTAGGACAATTACCTCTTAAGGAATTTGTTGACTTAGAAAAACATCCCTGCGGGTTGGTTATGCCATCACCACAGCATAGTCATATCTTAGCGTTCAAACTCTTTTGTCGTCTCCATAATTCTGGGTAGTAATCCCTTTTACAAGACTGATGGTGGTTTAGTGTAAATTTATCTTTGATACTTTGTCCATTGCGTCAGTAAATTGTATTGGCATCATACCCACGTCCTCTACTGATGCTAGAAAATGATGAAGAGACCTATGGCCATTTCTATATCTTTTAATATAAAAATGCTCTTTGTTAAAAATGATTAACATAAGTGAACAATAAGCAATCAGAAAAGCCAATCATATTATCAGAATTTTCAAAAGAAATAAATACCTTAAAATTAAGAGTGTGACTCCTCAATTATTTTTACCATCCTCTTAGCACTTCCTCTGTCACAATCCCACAGAGAAGAGGGTGAGTCACCCTTGAAGCTTCATCATTTGTGTCAAAAGCCCTCTGGCATCCCGTCCTGAGGCTGCTAGCTTTCTGAATTTTAGTATCTGTAGTTAAAATGGGGCTTGCTGTTCACCTCTTAGGATAGGAAAAGATCTTATTTTCCTTTCCAGCATGTCTGCTCAAGTTTAAAGTTTCTTGACTCTCCCTACCCTCTTTTGCTCTAAGGCATCTTTCTTTTCCCTTCTGATGAAGAAGAAAATTGTTTCTCTGGGTACAATTTATAAAACTCCAGTGTGTTTCTTAAACAAAGTGGAAGGGAGTGTTGCCCTATTCTTGTTAGGGAAGTAGGACCACTATTATTTCTTCAGTGTATTCAGTCATAGCTTGAGTCTTTTATGAGCTAGCTCAGAAAGAGATTTCAGAAGATGCCATTACCTTTTACAATGTAAGAATTTTTAAACAAAAGTTAAGCTGATAATTAGTGTCATCAGTGCATTTCTGGCAAGACTTTGAGATAAGGAGTGTACTATTGACATTGTCATTTGACTTCCAATATGACTTCAGAATTAAATATGAGGGTCCCCTGTGGCAGAGCAAAGTAGACCCCCTTTTGCCTTTATTTGCTTCCCGTAACCACACATTTAGAAAATTTCCTTAATTCCTTTGCCATTAGTCTAACGAGGAGATAAGAACTAAATAGGATTAGAGCCTTTGCCTGAAGCAGCTTCAATGTGTTCTCTCATTTTGAAGCTCAAGCTTAAAATCTCAAAGGCATGCACCTAGTTCTGACTGTGGAGTTGAGAGAATTTCAGACAGTCCAGAGGAATCACCGCCATATTCCTAGTACTAGAGTTAGCAGTGTGTCTCTAGCAACTATCTGACAAAAGATCACATGACTTTCCATGCATGTTGAGATTTAGTAGTTTGGTGGTGTAACAGCCATATGAAATGCTATAATTTTATGGCTCTGGACATACGCATGATGAAAACAAATTGACATTATAGTTTATACTTTTAATATGTTGTTTGACGTTCATTGAAGTCATTGACATCTTGCACACTCTGAGTATGTCACACAACACAACAATGAATGTCACAAAATGGCTCTCTCTCTGTAATAGGGCACTGGGATATTTTAAATAATGCCTTGATGCAGAAGGTTCAGAAAAAACATTTCTCTTTGTCCCTATGATTCATTTGTTGGAAAGATCTTGAGTAAAGCTTATCTCATCTTGATTTTGGCCGCATGCTATTTCTCATTTCTAAGGTCTCAGACTGTACCTTCTCAATGAGATTCCTCTAAGTTTTATCTAAATTAACTCCCCTTGCCCCATTTCCTATCTTCTTTCTCATGTCATCCTACTTTTACTTCATAGCACTTATAGTTATTAACTTATTTGTGTGTTTTTTGAAGGTGTGTCTCTCAACCATACTGTGAATTTCGGTATAGCATGGATTATGTCTATTTGTTCAGCACTGTACACTTGGCCCCTAGCATATGCTGAGCTCAGACTGGCTGGTCATTAGTAATGAATGAATAAATGAATGAATGAATGTTCAGGATGCAACTGATAAGCTGTCTCTTCCCAAGGGGAGACAGTATGACACATGTAGTGAGAGAAGCACAGAATATCAGTTTACACTATTTACTAACTGGCAGATCACTTATTTGAATGTGTTTCCTCATCATGAAATGACAAAAACAATTTTGATTTTACTTAGCTCAAAGGGATGTTGGGAGAATCAAATGCAGTAATGAACGCAAAAGTACATTTGGAACTGGAATGTGCTGTGCCATGCTTATTATCATGACTTTTATAACTTTAATCTACAATCATTGAACATACAGACAAATTAATGGATGGATCCATTAATGAATTTAGGATCAAGTTGACATAAATGGTCCACAAAAATCACTCAATATTAAAAGTGGAGAATACTTTTAGTGAGTTGGACAATTAGATTGAAAGATGTATAAAGCTAGTATTTATGTTGCAACCTAAATACGTAAATTTATTTTATTAAAAATCTTTCTGAAACATTCTTCCCTATTTTTATATATTTCTTCTATCATGTGCAAATTCAGAGTTTTTAAATATTAAAATTGCTCTGGTACTTTATAAACACGCCGTGCATCATACTTCCAGAGAGGAGACATTTTAAAAACATACTGTTTATACCTCCCCAAATCTGTTTTTATAGGATATTCTATTTCATCATAATTTTCATCCCTGGTTATTTATTACTAGCCACATTTGCATGAAAGCAATCTTTATTTCCTCAGAGTTCATCTGTGCCTGTAGTTTATCCCCCACCTAAAGTCATAATTCTTTGTTAGTGACACCCTGATTGTTTGCTGGGTAAATGATTATGATGTTGCAAACAGGATTATGACTTGAGCTGAGGAATAACCAGGAGGCATAGATTAACTCTAAGGAAATAAAAATTCTCCTCTTTTAATGCAAATGCCTTCCATAGTTAAGGGAAAGGAGAGGATATTCCTAATGTTCTCCATGAAGTGACAGTTATGTTTAAAATGAAAAGAATTAATTGATTGATGGAGTTATCTTCTGTATCTTTTTTCAAATACTTATAGACACTAACAGTTATGGAAAGATAGTTCTGAAAGGGCTGTCTATGTGCTCTTACTTCTAGAAGGAAACTATATGTACTGCTTTCTATCCAGAAAACAAGTATACATTATTCTAAATGCAAATGCTTAGAAAGATTTCCAAGAGGGGAAATGTACTTCCTCCCTATTTTACAATTAACCAAACCTTATATATTCAACATAAATATGAAAGTGATGTTTTAGGGTAAATTTTGATATAATTTCACATTTTTTTAGGTAATTGTCATATTTTTATAGGATAACAGTTTTGTTATTGTTTATTTAAACAATGTCACTGTTCTAAAACAGCTTCTGGACTTATTAAATGAGACCTGCAGGTGCAGGTGGGAGATGAACAGATGCCCATTTTGCTTTTCAAAAGTACTCATCACATTTACTTTCTCTTCTGATCACCTATGCCATAACCCTGGAAGAATACCTTGTAAGTGAGTCTACTGAATCAATTAACACCAAATAACCATGGAATAACATAGAAGTTTATTTCTCTTGTATGTAAAGTCTGGGAGTAGGCAGTCAAGAGTTAGTATGGTAACTACCTCTTACTATGTTGTTTCCATCCTCTGGGTCACCTCATCATCCAAGATGGTTGTAGATCTCCAGCCATCACAATCTGGGTTCAAGTCATCAAGAAGGGGAAAAGTGGGGAGAGCGAAATAGGTACCTCCCAGCTGAGGCAGCTTCCTGTAAACCAGTCTTCCTGGAAGTCTCACACATCACTTCCGCTTACATCTTATTGGCCAGAACTTAGCCAAGTCTAGATGCAAAGGAATTTGGAAATGTAGTTGCTTAAGGGGGCACATTGCTGCTCAGAATAAAATTGGGGTTGTGTTGCCGGGGAATATGGGGAGAGCGGATACTGAAGGCAACTGGTGTCTCTATCCTAGCCTGTCACGTTATCCTCAGTACTGATCTACAGCTGCTTGCTTTCAGAATATATGCATTTTGAAGTTAATGTGGTTGGAAATATGTGGTAGAAACCAACATTTTGAGATTTAAATAAGTCAAATTTAAGAGACACCTTTAGACTTAAATCACTCAATTTCTTACATGGACCATTCCTCTTTTTCAGTCTGAAAGACATACTTTAGTTACGCAAACATAGACCTCATCATTATTCAGCTTCAAGTTTTCACCTTAGGACTTCTCTTTAAAGTTCAGTCTCTGGGCTGATGTCCAAACTCAATCTGCTTTGGCAAAGACTTTCAATACACTCTGTTAAAAATACTACGGTATGAAATATTTACATCAAATGAATGTTCCAATGTTAGGGTATTTTGAAACCTGTGATGTTGCAAATTTTCACAAGAATACATAGAGAACAAATATAAAATAGTTTCTTCTTATAGGAAAATTGATTAGGACAGTAGAGCCAGAGATGACAGATGGTCTCAGAGATAAAACCCCATGGTTACAGTCTCACATAGCAGTGCTTAAATCCTTTACAGTCCATGTATAAGATGGGACATTAATTGCTTTCAAACTGAGTTCTGGGAACTCTTAGGGTTTCTTGATTTGGGGGAGGAATATGATCGGGGGCTGAATTGCTGAACAAAAGCTTTTATGCTTGAATTTTTTTATATCAGGTTATTTGTAAGGTTGAAGAAAATTCTGCCACAAAAGTTGGAGATCTATGGCCTAGAGTCCTAGAAGAACTCTGGGCCTCCTCTCAGGCCCATGTTCTTAGCTTTGTGTTCTCACAGAATGTTATGTTGTTAAGATAAGTGACTAGATTTACATCTCTTTGCTGTAAGACCAGACTCCAGAGAACCATGGAAAGAGAAGATAGTTTCTCCTCTTCAATTCACTGAAAGTTATCCAAAAATTATCCAACATTAGGCAGCTGTCTATATTCCTGACTTCTAGTAAGATATTTTTTTCTTCAAGTACGGAAACCCACTCAAGATACTGAAAGTAAAGTGCGTTTATTTTAGTGATAAGTAGAGTTGTGTAAAAATCCAAGAACAGGAACTATAGAAGAGTTGACTTCACAGGAATTGAGGCTTCCTGGACCTGAGGCAGCTCTCCTTCAGGGTGGCTGTGGATGCTCATAGGTTCTTGCTTTTTGGGGAGCATTAGCTCTATTTTTTCCCCTACTGACTGGTGTCTTGTGTTCACCCATAATTTCCACTTATGCCCAAGGATTTCATTTATTATGGTTCATTCAGGCCTCTCACTGCCTCATAGCCTTCCTCTCAGTTCTACTCAGACAACTACCTGTTTCAGTCCCTTGAATTGGTTTTTCAATTCTAAATCCAGAGAGAGAAGTTTTTGTCCAGTTTATATTTTTCAAGCCACACAACATGATAACCTAAGGAG